GGATACGGCAGCCACGACGGTGAGTGCCCGGCGGTGCAGGACACCTGCCGGCAGGTCCCCGGCAGCCGCGCCCGGGACGTGCCCGCTGCTGCCCCGCGGAGCCCTTGCCTGGAGCGGCAGTGAGCTCGTGGCGCCTTTTTCCCGTAACCTTGAAATGCACCTGCGCCCGGGCAGCGCGTCCGGCGCTCCGCACGCTGTGCCGGAGCATCTCCTGCTTCCCCGCTCACATTCCTTTACTTCGGGAAGGGAACGCGGCGCTACTCCACAGGACGGGGTGTCCCCGAGGACTCCCCGGTACAGCCCCCGCCTCAGCCGCCGAGGCTGTGCGGCTGCCGGGTGCCTCGGTGCCCAGGCGGGACCTCCGCTCGCCCCTGCTGCCGCTGCCGCCAGCCCACACAAGTGGCACGCGGTTAAAGGCTGATGCTGGTGTTCGAAATAGTTCGAACATCCCGATTTCCAGAAGGAGGGTTATCGCTTTTATCCCCCTAACTTTGTGTCTTTTCCCACTGAGTTGCGTTTCGCTGTCTTACAGGACCCGCTCACTGGCATGAGCACTTTCCCATCGCCAATGGAGAGCGCCAGTCCCCCATTGACATCTGCCGCAAGTCCGCCAAGTACGACTCCTCTCTGAAGCCTCTTAGCTTCAGCTATGATGCCAGCACGGCCAGAAACATCGTCAACAACGGGCACTCCTTCAACGTGGAGTTTGATGATTCTTCTGACAAGTCAGGTGAGACTTCACCTTCGTGTGCAGGAGGGAAATAGCAGAAATTGCTACTAAAACTTACTAAAATGTATACTAAATCTAAAAGGTTTTTTTAAGGATGAAAATATACCAAAATATTCTGGCTTCTGTAAGGTGAGGATTCAGCAAACAGGAAACTGAGATCCTGTTAGAAGAAAACTAAGGCTGTCTAGGTAGCTAAACTTCAGTGAGGCAAATTGGTTTATTTTTGTATAAACCAGAAGGATTGGGATAAGGACTTTGCTGTGGAAAAAAAAATTAAAAGTATTTGACAGGAATAATTTTAGGCATAGATTATCATAAGCCACTGATCAAATGGTTAAAAGAAGAGGCAAAATATATTGTAGGAAGAAAATGGCCTTAGAATAGCAAAGGATTGCAGTTAACAACTTGAAGTGGAAATAGTTTCTTTGGCTATCAAAATATTATTTCATGTTTCTGAAGCCAATATGCTCCCAGGTTAGTACAGAATCAGAGGAATGATTAGAAAATACCTCTGTTCTTTTGTAAGTCAAAAAAACATTATCCCTGGTGTTTCTTGATGCTGGGCTTTCTAGATAGTGTCTGACGCATTCCTACAAAGTTTGTTAGCAGGCAGTCAGGTCCACAGTCCCTTGCTGTTCATTGTGCTCTCTGGTGAAATTAAGCATGGAATCCTGCAAAACCTTAGTAATCCTTACTGAAAGGAGCAGCCTTTCTGATGGGCAGACCGAATCCAAGCTGTCCTTGCAACAAGGGTTCTGTATGTTGTCTTTGATTGTAGTTTTTCATATGGCTGCGTTTGCAGAAGTCATCACCCTGCCACAATGAATGTGCCTTTATTTTTTAATTTGGACAACAAAAACAATCCAGTTGTAAGTCACTGCTTTCTCTATACACTGCCTGATTTAACTTGCTTGAGCAAGTGTCCTATTTTTCCTAAGTGTTTTGTTGGGCATGTCATTTAGGGAATGGTGCTGAAACCAAATGATCTGTGCCTACTAAAAATACAAGATTTTTGTAACTAATATAATACAGTGGTATAACAGAAATTCAGCAGTACTCTAAGAATTTGACTTTGTATTTTAACTATAGTTTTTATGCTGGACAAAATTAGGTGGTCAGATATAAGTGTTAACAGTTGTATAAATACACATAGATCCATATATAATTTACAAAAAGTGTCAATATTGATATTTTAAAAAGGAGAGGAAAAAGGTATTCTGACCTCTGTTTATTTTTTTGAAACACTGGGAAGCTTAAGGAGCTGCATTGTGCTCAATCTAAGAGTGTCATGGAGAATAAGGTAAATGATCCAATGCAAAAAAAAAAAAAAATTCTTACCAGATACATGCAAGTCTACTCTTGCTGCCATCCTGCTCTCACTGAACCCAAAGAAATCAGGTTCAGGTCTCCATAGTGCAAAAAAACTATTTTGTTCATTTGGTGTGTACCTAAGTCTGGAAAGAACTGTGAAAATCTGGTTGTGAGGAAAAAATGGCAGGAATATAAAATAATTTAGAGAATGTCTGCAGGAAGAATGCTCTTTATGAGAAGTCGGTGCAGAACCAGAACATCTGTGACAGGGATCCTTTGACAAATATGCAGTGACACGGCTTTCAGAGTGGGAGGATAGGAGATGCAAGTAGCAATATTCTCAGTATCTCTATTAGTGAAGCAAAAGATTATTATTCTTTAGAAATAAAAGCCACTAAACAGATTTCTGTGAAGCTGGGTAGGGTGGATCATTCACTACTAGACTTCTATTGAAATTTACAGTGCATAGAATCTACCTGGCAGCACACTTAATGGCTTCATTTGTATGCGGTTAACTAGGTAACCTACTTTCCTTACACAAAATAGAGCTGTCTTTGACTCGTATCTGCTTGATTCTGAATTTGAGACTCAAATGTGCATACCCAGTTCTTCCTTAGACATCACACAACAATCACAGGGAGAAGCTATGTGAGGTTATGTGATGTGCTGGTATGTTTTACAGAAGACAATGGAATAATATCCTGTAAATACTTCCCACAGGCTGTATTGCTTGTTTCTATGAGCTGTCCCATATGTGGTAATGAATTATCTGTAGTAGTAGGCGCAAAATGAAGTAATAAGATCATTGTTTGTGAATAATCTTCAAGATGAGTAACTGCACGCAAAGCAGATCCATTCCATTAAGAACCGTCAGTCTCATAACTAACAACACTGGAGCCATCTGAACAGCAGTTCTAGGTCTTAGTGTCTGTTTGATCACTCCTGCTCTTCTGAATAGACAAAATGCAATTTAAAAGATAATAAATAATATTTAATGATAATGTAATAAATAATACAATTAAAATATACAATTGCAATTAAAAAAAATCCAAGCAGGTAGTAATAACATCAAGAAAAAAGGTATATAGAAAATAGTATTTTGTATGCTTGTAGCCTTTTGGAATGCTTTCTTGGGTTTGTATGTAGAAACTGAACGCTGAACTTCCCCATTCAGTTGTTACTTAGTCAGTTCTTGCAGTTGTTTTCTTAACTTTCATGTCCACTGTCTTTTAATAGTAGTGGAACATAAAGTATTTGTAGGTATTCATCTTCAAAATTCTTTAATTTCAAAAATTTCTTCTTCATTTTGACAGCCAGAAGTCATTATGATAGAAGTGTCACTAGGAGTAAAACTTTGAATTCAGGTTTATCCACTCTTGTAATGGAACTAATGGAACCAGACCCTACATGTATGAGTGAAGCAGCTGATGATGATATCTCTTAAAATAAGATGTGTAACTATAATACAAGAACTTTACAGCAAAGGAGTCTCATTAAGGGTACTTCTTTTATCATATTAAATGTTGCATATTCCAGTCTTCTGTAAGGACTTGTGTATCACTTCCCTCACTTTAAAAGACAGAAGTAAATAGTGACCTCTCAGAGCCATAAAACCACAGGACGTGACTCTGCTCAAAAAACCCTCAAGAGCCTGAAAGATTTTGTAACACACATAAAGTGTGTTCTCTATGTGAGTTTTTCCAGAGAGTCTTTGAGAATTTATCTAAGTTCTGAAATTCAAGTAGGACATGTTCACAACAGTAGACTCTGTATTCTGCATTTTCTGACCAAGTGTTTGATGAGCTTATAAAAGAAGTCAATTAGCCATGAATTTATTCTCTAACAAGTATGTTAAAATATCATATTTTAACTGTAGAACCTGACAGAAGTGAATTGAAACTATGGTGTCAAACTCTACAGACTTGAAAAAATATGCTGGTAATTTATGCTTGTGGCTAAGTCACTTAATTTTTTCCTTCCCCTTGTTGCTGAGCTAGAGTATTGAAGTTCAAGTCAGAGTCCCAAGTAAATCTGACATTTTTGCAAATATTAAGTCATAGTAGAACTTAAAAATTATGAGAAGACCTTGAAAATGAAAATACTGTATTCACCTTGATGCTTGCTCCCTTTGAGAGTCCTTCAGTAGTTGTAATCCAATATATTATCTGATTCTTTCTATAATTGTAAAAATTAATGCATACACTTCAGCTGTCTTGAATTATGACTCACTGTAAATAAACTAATCTATTTTGTCACAGTAGTTATTGAAGAGCCAGTATATTAGCACTGCTCAGTTGGCAGTGAGTTTCTTTGAAAATAGTGCCATTGTTGCTCTTCTACACTTCCACTTCAGCTGGTAAATGAAAGAAGGAACATGTAGGTCTGCTGTCCTTAAGGCACAACTCTAAATCAAAGTCACTGCTACTGGACTATTTTTAGGCTTCCCAGATCTAAAGATACAATATTAACCATGCCAGAATAATATTGCATGTCATCAGTATAGGGTCATGCATTGAAGGTCCACATTGCTTAAGCAATGAGTGTGTTGATCCTTTGGAATCAGAGAACTGACTGATTATAGATTTAGGGGACTGTATTTGGACACCTGCTTATGTCACAAGTAATGTTGTGCATGGCTTGGCTAAAAAGTCAGAGGTTTCAAGGGTGTGTGATCTTTAAGTCATTTTTCCTGTGAATTGGGATCAGCAGAAGCTGCAAAGTCTGTATAAACAAGTAACTTGAATAGTTCCAGTATTTCCAGGAACTGGAAAGGAAGATGAGAGGGCATGAGATTAGTCCTGCATGTTTCAGGTCTTCGTTTCTTTACAGAGGAGTGTCCTTCTTCGTTTACACTGGGGTGGGGTTGGTTTGTTCGGGGGTGGGGGGGGTTGTTTGGGGTTTCTTTTTGTTTTTTTTTTTTAATATTAACATGCAATTTCTGAGCAGAAATTTGCCTTGGATTGTGAATTTAACAATCATGGGAACTTCCTTCCTTTCCTTTTGCTAATCCCTCCTCTAGAGGGGCTTTTAATGCAAAACCAGGAGAAACTAGTCAGCTGTTATCAGCTGGGGCCACTTGGAAAAGTTTATTTTTAAGCTGTAATGAAGCTGTGTGCCAGATGTCATGATTACCACTCTTCTCAGCTGATAATTTGTTTATTTACTTACAGGCATGAGGGACTGCTGCATACTTAGAGGCAAGGCTTGCACCTTGAGTTTGTTAGTCCTTCATTAGATCTGAGTGTAGTATGAACACTGTCCAGTACACAATTTTCAGTACAATGAGCAGCCACTGCATTAGTATTCAAGTATTACTATTAGAAATTAAATCAGTTGATACTTTCAAGAGAATTTTAATTCTTCCAGCTTGGTTCTCAAAGTTGTTGTAAGCCTATATAGTGTGAAATGTGAGGGCAGAAGGCTGGTCAGAGACTCAGTACAGCATCTTATGATTCTCAGAGAATTTTTGTTTAAGAGACTACATGAGAAATAAGCTCTGCTGGTCCCAGGGAGTTGGAGGAATGTTAAGAACCTAAATTACTTTGTATCCTGAAGCAGCTCAGCGTCTTCCTGGCTGCTGCTCAGTCTGGGTGAAATAGTTCAACTGAGGTGAATTGGAACCACTGACCTGCTGCAGATACACACGTCTTCAGGACTTGCTGTGTTTTGGCAGCTGTTTCATTCTGGTGTATCTCTGTGGAACATCCTTATCCTTATCAGGCTAAGTTTCTAGCAATGTCAGAAGTAGGTTTTTTTGGTTTTTTGCCTTATGACATACCAATTTTTTTTCTCATAGGGAAACCCATTACAGATGTTTTCTGCAAATATGAGCCCTATAGTCAGATGCTTCAGTGCTGTCTTGATACAATGTCCTAGGAGGAATGTCTGAAAGAGATAACGTAAAGAAGGAAACATCTCACAAAATGTGACTCTGTGTACTCTACGTTTCACAGAAGTGGCAGCTCACCCTAACTGAACTCTAGTCTGTCAGATGGGAAGCCCATCCTTGCATAAGAACACAAGGCTAATTCCTGAGCATCCTCATAAGAGCCTTTTTCATGTCATTAATAGTACATGGTGCTCAAGCAGGTTTTTTTTCTTGCCTCAAGTAATGCTTCATCTGCTTTGTCTCTTCGTCCTGTTTTCCATTGCACAGATGTCTGTGTACACACAAAAGCTTACCTAATGTTAGCACTAATGTATGTACTATGCATATGTTAACATAAATATATGCCTAGAATATGATTTAGACATCACACCTACTGTAGGCTGATACAAAATCATGGTTTTCTTTGTGCTAAACCAGTGTGTGTGTAAGAGGGCTCAAGGTAGATGCTTGAAATTCCCTGCTGCTGGGTTTTTGTTTGGTAGAATCTCAATTAGAATTAATTCTCCAAGTCTGGAGCTTTTGGACATCTACTATACTCTAGTGGACCCATTATTTCAGCTACTGGAAGGAGCTTTGTAGTCAGTGATTCTCATTCTGCATTTTTCTCAGATTGACAAACTTTACAGTAGTATTTTTTCTTGTCACATTAATTTGTATGACACGAAGGAATTCAGCCTAACTTATTAAACAGTCTTGTAGTTCCTCCATTTTGATTAATCCTTTGACATGTTTATTGGCTTTATGAGGTGTATTAGTCTTCTGCTCTGTATAAAGAGAACAATCCATAGGAGTTAATTAAATAACAGGAATTCCCACAGTATTCCTACAGAAATTTAGATGTGGATGCTGCCACAGCCTGAAAAAAGGTATGAAGTGGTCCACAGTATTTTTTACAAGGCTGTTCTGTTTTACATTGGAAGGATAACTGTCCACCAACATTCCTTTAAATAGAACAGTGAAAGTGGGTAACCTCGGTTGAACAGCTGTACCAGATGCAACAAAACACCCTTTGATTTCTGTGTGTTTTCAAATATCCCAAGAAAGTGTAATTGAGTCAAACAAACTTCACCTTCTGTATCCCACAGTTGGTATGAGTCACAGAAATGGAAGAGTTTGGGTGCTTATTTGACTTCCTGAATTAATTTTTTTAATACTTGTGTTCACCTAATTTAGACCAAGTTACAAGAACATTTAACAGTGAAATATAATTACTGGATGTTGCTAGTATAACTTTTCCAGTAAAGGGTAGAAGAATGGTCATGGAAAAAAATTACTTTTTCTTAATCTAAGGAAAATAGCTCCAAATCTGTCTAATAAGTGTCTAATAGTGGAAAAGAAGAATGGGCACTGTCAAACTGTCACCTCTTGGGCTATAACATCTCTTGGTTATGATAACTGTCTTGAGTAAATGGAATCTGTGAGCAAATAATGTTTTTTCAGCTTCTCTTGTGCTGTCTTCAGACAGTGTTGCATCTGAAGCTGTGCTATAAAACAGAAAGGATCACAGCTACATAGTTACTTTCAGGATGGTTTTCACTAATACTGATTTCAAAAGTAAGGGAGCGAATGATGAAATGCTCCAATACAGATCAGAACTTCCCCATTCTTTTTAAAAAAGGGATGGAAAGGTTGGACTTTTTTTCAACATGGCCTCAAATTGATATTCCTGTCAGATGGAACAAAGACAGGGAAGTTGCTGGTATCAATGTTGTTCTGATTCTCTGTGGACTTTTATATTGCAAAAGCTGGTAGCATTTATCTATGGTTTGAAAAGCTTGCTCTGAAGAAAAAAGCAGTTCTATCATTCCTACTTTGCCTTTTAAGTTTAGTTTTACTTTATTGGAAAGACTGAGAAGTGTTAAAAATAAAATAACTGCTTAACATAGGGTAGAACAAGAGGGTCGTTCTGTAATTAAGCCTGCTGGATTTGTATTCATTCACACTAATCTAATTATTACTTTCTTTGAATGCTCTGCTGTGAGTCAAAATAAGCTAGTGCTGGATTTGAGAACCACAGAATGAGAAAAGTAAGCAAAAACTGCAAAGAGATTTTTCTGCATCTTTTGGGGTTTTGAGACTATAGCAAACTTTGTGTGCAGAAATAACACTGCAAATGAACTCAAGAACATTGCATGGTTCTGCTTTTCAGCATGCTTTCCATTGATTAATAATGGCAGATTAACCTGGGCTGTGCTAGTGCTTTCTGAGGTCAAGGAGCGACGGAACCTCAGTCCATTTGTACCTGCAACAACTGGCGAGACTGAGAGCCAAAGGAACTGAAACACTGTAACTCCATGGCATCATTTTAAAATGAAACATGACATTGTATACATTAAATGATTTTGTATCTGTAAAGACACAGTAACCAGTAACTTCATTTCCAAAAGGAACTAATGCCTTTCTACAGCTGCTGTTCTGAAACAAGTACTCAGATTTGTAGCCCTGTGCTTGAAACACTTACGCTTCTTGGAAACTAGCACACGCAGAAATGTAAAAGTAGAATAAGAGAAGTTCCTATTTGATTACTTAAAGTAGACATTTTTCTTAGGATCACATAGCTTGGAAATAGGGCAAGTCCTGGTCTGTTGGCTACAGTATTGGAAATTACATAGGTTGCAGTGGAACATCTATTCGTGTTTTTCAGATAAAGATACATGTTGGGAGACTTCTACATATATTTACCAAAGGAGCCCTTGGCAAATTCTAGATTTGTCCACTGAACCCAAATTTTGCATGCATAGGGAACACTGGTGGAAACGAACATATTTTTAAGAAATCCTACTTCAATTTCATGTATTGCAAATTTTTTGTGAAATCTTTCTCACCTTACTGTTTATATCTATGGCTAGTGTTGTCCATGCTTGTATATAATGGACTTTTTCAAACCTGCAGCCACCTTTCCCAGTCAGCATTTGATACATGTTTTCACACATGCACGTATTGTGCTAATGTTTAGACTAATTGCAGACTGAGAGGAAAGCATCTTTACTCCACAGAATCATTTTTTGGCACATACACAGAGCACACTTACATATAATATCTGATGTCAGCACTCTTCTGTCACTTTATTGTATACAGGTATTTATAGAGAGAAATTGGCTTCTTAAAATATCTAACACTTCAAATTACTTTTTGTTTTTAATTTTTTAAATAACAACAACTTAAAGATTTAATTTTGAATTTGGATTTGAGATGCTTGGGAGGAAAAATGAAAAAATCCCCAACCAAACCACAAACTGGTGTGAAACCTTTCTCTGATAACTTAGATAAATACCTCTATTTAATAGAACTATTTATTATTATTCTGTGCTTTATGCTACACTGGAGGAGACATTGTCTGTGCCCTCAGCATTTTGCAATGGTAGGGCTTGATCCTGCAAATCACAATGGTGATTGGTCACAGCTGGAGTAGAAGGGTAAAACTAACAAGCAGAATAAGGGAGCTTGCTCTTGTATAATTAAAAGTGTGTCTGGGAGCTTCACTCAGAGCAGCCCCATAGCACAAGTAATGCCAGATAATGGAGAGCATAAATAAACAACTCATTTCCAAAAAGTCCATCTGTGTAAGCATTGCCATTTTTACCACAATGGGGAGGACAAGAGATTTGAATTCACATCTCTGCACTGTCTTGTCCTGTGCCTAGTGCTTTACCTTGCTGCAAGAAGGCTAACCCATGGCTAACAGGTTTTCAGGTTTAAATTGGAACCAAAATCATTTTACTCAATCCAATCTGCCACAGGATTTGCAGGATTAAGGCCTAAATGGATGAAGTATCTAAAATAAAAGAACAGACTACATTTGTACATGGAAGATGATTCAGTCTTCAAATGTACTTCCTTAGGATGATTCTATATGGGCCTCTTACAAAGGGCTTTTTTAATCTATTGGTGACAGAAAAGTTACATCTTCCCTCATCACTTGTAATACTAGCATGCCTGTTAAATTGTTGATGAGATGCTCACTGTAAAGTCACTTACGTTTTTATGCATTTATTATCAATTTTGGTGTATTGCAGTAATGTACCATTGAGGATGATCTGGAGTAGCATGGCAGCATGCAATAAACTGTAAATCACATAAAAGACTTGAGATAGTTGTTTCAGTTTGAAGGGAGACTTGATAACAAAAATTATGTAATTTGCTTTTATTTTGCAGTGGTGCAAGGAGGAGCGCTGGATGGAGTCTACAGGCTGGTGCAGTTTCACATTCACTGGGGATCCTGTGATGGCCAGGGATCTGAGCACACTGTGGATGGTGTGAAGTATGATGCAGAGGTAGGCTTTACCTTCTCCAGTCTTCTTTGCATAATGAGGTTTGGTTTTTTTAAGTATTCCTCCACAGTAGCACTTTCACTACAGATCCTCACAGGAGAAGGTTACCATAGACAATTTTGGTATGATGCCACCTTAGAACATAGTCCTTGCAAGAGCAGGACATTAGGCTTGTAATTTTTCTCAGCTACTTCATGTCAAAGAGAAACAGAAAACCCCACATTAATAATACCTGTATTTTTCCCTGCTTTCTCTATGACTCTTGTAAATCATGAAAAAAGAGAATTGTAGCACACCTATACATGCACATCCCCTTTTTCTAGCTTCAATTTTTAATACCAGAGGTCTTTATAAGAACAGTAGAATAATTTTGGTGCAGATATTTTCATATTTTGGTGGCAAAGAATCAAGGAGAGTTATGAAGAGGGCAGACAGTAAAGTGCAATCTTACTGTCTGGCACTCTTTGTGATCCCTTGAGACTCCAGGTGTCCCTCAGACCACTTAAGACTCCATATTACAGTCTGATACAGAAACTGAGTGACTTTAATGCCTTGCATCTCACCTTTCCTCATCCCCCGTTTAGAAATCTACCTCTGGTTTCTGTGACTGACTTCTAAAATATATTCATAAATACATATTTGTGGAATATACCTGTGATTTGCATTGACAGATAAAAGAAACTGCTCCACAAATTCATTGGCTCTGCTGCTTTTTCTTGAGGGAAGTAGCTTTTGTCTTATCTGAGATACTTCAATTACCTTCTGTCTTTCACAGTACCATAGTTACTTGTTCAACTTGACTTGCAGATGTGAGGAAACAGCCTGATGAACTTAAATTAGAAATAACTTGGAAATTAAAAAGAAAGTAACATCCTGGATAACACGATCTGGAGATTAATTTCATATTCTTTTCCAAGCCTTTCCAGTAAAGGGCAGGACTGGCTTTTATTAAAAAAAACTTCCAAATTGTGAGTCAAATCTGTAGTTAATGTGTCTTCTCTGCTTCTTCTGACACTGGCAATGTATGTCACTGTGCTCAGAACCAGGATATATAGCATTAAAATACTACATCAAAATCCCGTGGGCTGTATGTGAGAAAAATTTATGCTGAAGATACCAGGAGTTTCACCACATGAAAAGCAGAATGATACAGCCACAGTTTGCCTTTAAAACTCACCAGAGACTAGGAGTGAGGAGCAAAATAAAACACATTACAGAAATCTTTTTGAATAGATGAATCTTTAAAGTAGATAAATAATTCAACAAATTCTTAACTGTACACAAAAGCTTTCAAACCTCAGCAGTAAAACACCATCTTGCTCTTAATAAATTACTTCCCTGCATCTTTATTTGTGAAGTATTCTGGATGGAATATCATCTTCACAGTGCTTCTTTGTTTTCTTGCTCCCAGCTCCATATTGTTCACTGGAATGTAAAATATGGTAAATTTGCTGAAGCTGTGAAGCATCCTGATGGTTTAGCGGTGGTGGGCATCTTCATGAAGGTTTGTTAAACTTTTACTTTTTTATTATTTGTCCAGCAAATTCATTGTGTTGTGGGGAGAGCTTAAGAGCAGAAAATAGAGAATAAGGCAGCATTGTGCTGTATCACCCAAATCCATACCAAACTAGCTGGTGCTCCAAATTCTTACCTTCCTTTATCTTTAAATTTTCCTTTATTATAAAAATTGTACACTGGCCATGGAGTGTGACTGCCATCCATCACTGTGGCAGCCCTGTAGCAGCATTCTTGCCTTCATCAGGACAGTGATGCTACCTTACCAGTGAAAGGTGATGTGCATAACTGACCAAGTTGTGTGTGTGCATCTGCACTGTGACCAGCCTAAATAACACCTATTTTCCTTCTCTTGTCATTGTTAAATGCCAGAGGGTTTTGTGTTTTGCATTAGTTGAATTGTCTTGGCAGCTAGCTTGAAGAGATGTCTGCTCCAGCAGTACGTAGTATTCCATCCTGGCCTCACTGAGGGTGACTATTTTATTGGGAGGGTGACTTCCATAAAAGAAGAACAGCTTAGGTCCAAAAATAAATCCACACACTGTAAATGAAAATAGCTTCATTGTGTCCAATGTCCTTGGCTGACCCATTTGTGCTCACTGTCAACTGGCATGATTTTACAGAGCCTGTTTGAGTCACTTACACTGTAATACTCCTATTATGTAATGAAATGCAGCTGAAAAAAAAAAAAAGTTTCCTTGAGAACTGTAACAGAAAACTAAAGGTGTCATGAGAATGCATGGTGATTTTTATTTTTTTATGGTTTGTGTTACAGGTGGGAAATGCCAAGCCTGAGATGCAGAAGGTTGTGGATGCTCTGAGCTCCATTCAAACCAAGGTAATACTTGCTGTCTGTGTTGATGGACACCCATCACAACTGTGATAAGTTATCCTTTTTGGAAAGTAGAATTTTTTACTTCTTCCCAGCCTTCTGCATACATGAAAGTAAAACAAACTTCCTGCCATCAGCAAAGGTGCTCCTATAAATCTAAAAGCAAAACAGATTGGAATGAAGTTGAGGTAGAAAGCATGGAATACTAGAAACAGTGATTATTTCCTATCTTTGTGACTACATTTCTCTGTCTTTTAACTGTATTTAAGCCTATAGGATAGGATTCATCTTCCTAATCTAAACTACAGGTGCCCTTTCTCATCTGTGGTAACAGATGGAAAAGGCATTTCTCCTCTGTGCATCTGTGGGTTAAATTTCCTTTTTCCAAGAGGGCATGTTCTCTTGGCTATTTCTAGAGAGGGTTCAGATAAACGGTTTGATCAGTACATATAATTTAGGGGGAAAAAGTCTTCCTGTGTCTTAAATATTGTGTGCAGTGTGTGTGATTTTAGTGTGCTGAGTAATGAGAAACTAAAAGTACTTAGTGAGTAATTAGGCACCTTCATAGTGGGTAAAGCCCAATGAGAAATGTGGACAGGAAAGGTAAAAAATGAGATTATGCTGACATCTTTCTCATCAGGCACCCTTTGTGGTAAAGGGATAATGCTGCTTACTGCAATGGACTCTCCAACAGGTCTCACAGGTTCTGTGTTTGCCATGCTATCAGTGTATGAGGC